CTGGATCTGGTGTGTGTTTATTTCACCTGCTGGTCTGTGAGCGACTTGACTTGAGGTTTTCTGTTCCGTCTGTTCCTCCCTCCCCGGGCCTAACCGGCACCTGGGGCCGGTGCTGGGACAGAGTACCCAGAAGCGGGGCTCACTCCCTGCGTGCTGCAAGTTTTGGAAGCCTCTGCAGTGATTGCAAAAAAGACCGATCCCCATTCTTCATATTTCTGTTGAAACCAGACACAGGAAACATCTGATCATAATAAAGGAGTTCCAGTAAATTCTAGGTTTCCTCACTGGGCCGTTGTGAGCCGCAGTGCTCTGTTCCCCTTGGGTCTGGGATTCTGTTTCGCCACTGGTGTGTCGCTCCACATGGCGACCTGGGTCCTGAGAGCCAGGGACAGCTGGGGCCGGGGCTGCTTGAAATAAAAATGACACATTTGCTAGTCTGACAGGGAGAAGCCTGGGTATTCCTGCTCAGTTTCTTAAAAAACAGAACTCAATTTGTGGAAGACTGAATTTTCCCTGTCGCTGTCAAAGTGGTTTATAAGCCAAATGATCTGACAACCTTCAGAGTAAACACAGAGAATGAATGACCAGACTGACTCTCCAGCCTGTGCCGGCAATGTGCAAAGCAAACTCCATCAACATTTACACAAAACAGAAGCATGTCATTCACTTCCTCCTGAAATCTCTCACCGCTCACTTGTGCCTTCTGCAATTTAAAGACCCAGGCTCTCGGAGCATGCCACCACTGCCGCAAATGGGGCTTGCAAAAACTTGACTTTTTTTCTCTCCAGGCAGACAGTCCTCTGTTTGGTACAGACCCGCCCCCCCTTGTCTCCCCCCAGCACAGTCGAGATACCTGTTGATTTGTTTCTCTTCCCGGAAGACATCCTCTTAGCTTTGTACCTCAACGGTTCAGCACAGAACCTGGCACATAACAGGTGCTTGATAATACTTCTAGGTTGGAGGGAAGATGAAGAGAAAGGAAAAACCCCATTTTGTTTCAAAGTCCAGGTTATTGAGGTATACTGAAGTGCCACGGAATATAAGGCATTTCCAGTATCTGAGGGGAAGCTTTTTGCGTGTTCATGGGTACATAAAGGCATTGAGGAACCTGGCACCGGATCTAATGAGTCCCAAGTTAAAACCCGAAAGGACTTGAGGGTATCTTAGCGGGCTGAAGATGCCTGGGTTTGGTTCCTGAGCCCCACCTGGAGTGACTCTCCAGCCCTGAGCTGGAAATAGCCCCTGAGCACTCTCACGTGTGGCCTGAAAACCGAAATTAAAATCCAAGAACTGAATTAAAGAGGTGCTTCACCCCCCCTTCCCAGCTTTCCCCCCTAACAATATAAATGTAGAACTTTTGCAGAAGCATAGAGAATAAAAGAGCATCCCATATTGTTTTCTCCTTCAGACAGCTTGTTACCATTCAGGCTTTTCTTTTTTCTTCTTTTTTTAGGTCAACTTAAGTTTTAGTCTTTTTCCTTCAAGTTTAGATGAACTGTAAGGGATTATTTCAGGAGGAAAGTTGCGATTGGAAAAGTACTTGTCACCCGCGATTGAAATTTGAGCCGCTGTTTTTATTGCTGCTCTTCTGGGCAGTCAGCTCTTGGAAAACCCTTCTTAATCTTCTCCAGGTGGAAGTGATCGCTCACCTCCAAAGCCCCCGGGGCACTCTCCTCACTTCCCTCCCTGTGGTTTGTGGGAATGCTTTCATCTTCCTGCTACGAGGCCCGGCCCTGCTGCCCAGGGTCAGGATCCTCTTGAAGTGGATGATAATCTGTATGCAGAATCGCCTGCCCCTGATTTGTGAAAAAAAATCACAGCACCTCGCATCACTTTCTGTGGGAAACAAGGGTATGTCCTTCTGGACGCCTGCATTTGATCAACGGACTGACCTCTCTTCCTTCTGTGTCTCACACATCCAGGGGGGCAGGCATCGGAAGCTTGCATCGGAAGTTTGATGGCAGGAAAAGGGAAGCGAGGGTTCTGGTGCCATAGGGGAAGTCCCAGCCTGGCTGTGCAGGGGGTGCCCGGAAAAGAGGAGGCTCGGGAAGAGGGTCGGGCCTGGGCTGTGGCTGGTGGGAGAACACAGGCCCTGGGCGCGACCCCCAGCACCACCCGGAAGAAGAGGGGCCACTTTCCCGGGGAAGGTGACAGCTCTTCCCACACAGACAGGAGGGGAGAATATGTCTGATGCGACAGAGCCTAAGGAGATGGGTTTCTCCTCGGGGACAGAAGTAGTCTGGCCTATTGGGAGCGAGAGCTGTTATTGGAGGTGGCCAAGGAGGTGAAATGGTGAAAATCTCGAATTTTGAGTTTGGCCTTGGTCCAGGAAGGCCTGGAAGGGTTTTTCATGGAGGCAGAGACATGGGTATGAGGAGAATTCACTCTAAAGGCAGCGTGCTAAGTGGAGACGGGGCTGTGGTTAGGAGTAGGATTGCAAAAGCGCTGGCAGATGTTTTTCTGCTGGAGGCGAGTGTTTAGAGATGGAAAGTGAAATCCGGGCTGCCTGCAGTGAGGATGCCTGTAGCTGGGCCCCGGGAAGCACCCGGAGGCTGGGCCCTGTGGCTTCCCTGCTCTCCTGATTCATCTCTGGGAGTCCATGTCCAGGATGTAAATAGCTCCCAGCTGCGGCTCTTTTTTTTTAACAGAGAGAGAAGGAAGGAGAGAGAAGAGGAGAGAGAGAGAGAGAGAGAGAGAGAGAGAGAGAGAGAGAGAGAGAGAGAGATTATCAGGCCCATCACAGGCTTTGCATACAGGTTTTGCCCAGGTTCAATCCTGGCACCAGCTGGTTCCCTGGGCACCTCTGAGTCTCACCAGATGTGACCTTGAGACCAAAATGAAAAAGGAGAAAGCGAGGCAGTGCCAGAGCCGTGGTCAGTGGGTAGGGCTCTTGCCCTGATGGCAGCCACCTCGGGTGTCTGATCGCTGGCATCCCATGTGGTCCCCGAGCCATAGAAAATGATTCCTGAGCTTTGTGGGTGTGTCCCAAAACCTTTTTTTAAAAAATGGGGAAAGGGAGGAACAGGGATTTCTCTTCCAGAGGGTGGCAGTAGGAGGCAGACATAGGGCATTTATCAACCACCGACCACCGTAAGGCTGGACTGTCACCTGTCTGGTCAATACAGGCCAGGAATTTTGCTTCTGCATTTCTTTGAGTTTAAAAATAATCCTATCTTACTTTTCCTCGGTGGTTCAGAGCTTTAGGAACTGCTATATTTGGCAGTACAAAATTTCCACCTCTGATCCTTATCCAAAACAGTGCCCTTCTGCTCTCTAGCCCACCTCACCCTCCCCGCCTCCATGCTTAAAAAAATACTTGGTTGTGGGGGGTGGGGACAGTTTCTAAGGTTTGTCTGAAGGTGTATGGCCCATTCCTGCCTGGCATGTTCCTCAGCAGGGATGGAGGGGAGGGCGTGCTCTTAGGTGGCTGTGTGAGGGTCCAGCTCATGGCGTGTCTGCGACCTGGAATGTGTGGGGCTGGATTTCCAGAGAAAGGACGCCCAGCTCGGGCTCTGCAAGGGTGACGTGGAACCCCCTGTCATGGACATCTGGCTGACAGGCCTTTGTGTGAATCAGCCTTCGAATGCGAGCTGCCCCCTTTGCCTTTGGGATCTCTTGGGAGAGCGAGGCCTTAAATTATCCTGGGGTTCCTCAGAATCGCTTCTGTTGAACTATTTGTTGGCTCTCTGCCATGGTTTTCCGTGGCTCACGGTGGAAGACTTAACTGCACAGGATTCACAGCTACTTGTCATAGAGCAGTTGCAGAAGACACAGTCTTCCACTTTGTGAAGACCGCCCCCCCCCCCCGCCGCCCCCTCCGCCCCAGAGAAATTTCTCTCCGTTCACAGGATCCTGTGCTTTGAAGTTGTTCACTCGCTCTCGCACCCTGTCCCGCCATGCTCCAGGCCTCGTACCTGGCATTCTGTTGGCCTCCATATTCCATTCCAGTCGCCGAGGCCTTCCTTCCTCCGCAGCTGTCCTGTCAAGTGTCACCCGTCCAGGGAAGAAAGCCTTTCCTCACCCGCCGACGCCCTTATTCCAGACACGCACTTTCACTGAGCTCTTGGTACCGTAGTCTCCTTTTAGTGGAACCATTTGTGGTGTGATCACGTCTTTTTCCTCGCCTGGACAGATGGGAGGGAGGTTCACCAGGGTCAGGACGAGGCCCGGTTCTTTGCTGCTCTGTCACAGAGCCGGTCTGGAAACTTCCCCAGAGCAGAAGGACACGTGGCTCCTGAGTGAGAGAGTGAGTGAGTGAAGATGCTGTGGACACTGATCTCACCGCTTCGTTTTCTCCTGGCCTTCAGCTCCTTGGGAGCTCAGGCCTCCTTGATTCTACGTGTAAATTTTGGGGGAAGGAGGGGAGGTTTGGGCCGCACTCAGTGGTGCTCAGGGTTTGTTGCTGGCTCTGTGCTCGGGGATCCGCTGCATGCAAGGCCCGTGTCTTACCCGCTGCACTTCTGGCCCTCGCTTTGGGCGATGTTTGTAATGTCCTCATGGCATGCATTTTGGGCACTAACATTCCCCGTCCGCTACTTTCCCTCTCTGTAACTTACTTCTTTTTTAAATCCCAGTGCATCCTCTAAATTCCTGTAGGCTGCTTTAGCCTTTTGGGAGGAGAAGTAATAAGTAATTTGGAAATCTGGGTGAAAGAAAAGAAGAAGTCAAAGGGAAATGCTAGTGCCATTAACCAGAAGTAGGAGGAAGTTTGCTTTATCTCCATGATGAGAAGGAAAAGGATGTAAACTCATCTCCTAATTTGGCAGTCAGTGCTTCTGAAGAATTTGGGGCCCGAGACGAACATCTACCCTGAGAGGTTCCTCCCGTGGCAGGCTGGGGGCCGGGCTGGGCAGGGCCTTTGGCCCAGGAGTGGGCGGGCACAGGCTGCATAACTGTTCCTGAGGACTTTCCCTTGGGGAGGGTGTGGGAAGAGCCCTTGGGAGCTTGTTGCTTTCGTCAAGAGAAGGAGAAAGAAATGAACTTGTCCTCTTGTGTTGCAGATTCAGTGGTTCTTTCCCTTGACTCCGCTGGACAAGCACTAGGCTCAGGTACAACCCCTCCCCTCTGCCCCCCTTTCAGCTTACAGCACGGGCCCCGTCGCAGGTGGAGCCCAGAGAGGTGCAGGTGCATGGTGGGAGGGTGATGGAATATTCCAGAATTGTGAGAAAGCCCTCCGAGGGTCTTTTGCTCTAGGAAAGTAGCTATAAAGCCCAACATCCAGGGTTCGGAGTGATGGGTAGGGCACTCACCTTGCAGGGGTCAGACCTAGGTCTGAGCCCCACATCTCACATGGTCCCCTGAGAAAGCCAGGAGTGATTTCTAGAGCGCAGAGCCAGGAGTAACCACTGAGCATCACCAGATGTGGCCCCCAAACCAAACAAAACTTGTATTAAAGAGGAGTCCTCATTAAGAGAGAAAAGGAGAAAAGGCAGTCCAAGTTGGGCGCGGGGGGGGGGCGGGGGATAATTTCATCACAAGTAACCAACAAAGTGCTTCTTTCCAGAATAAAGAACTACAAAAATTATTAGGGATGGAGAAATAAATAAGCCAGTATAGAAATAAGCAAATGCCTGAAAAGGTGTTTCACAAGCAGGAAATCCGAAGGACTAATAACCCTCTGCCTGCAGCTGTCCCTAGAGAAATGCCAGGCTGACAGGAGGACGCCACTGCACCTCTGCCAAAAGGGCCAGCTTGTGAAGCGTGGCACACTAGTGTTGCTGGAGTGGGTGACGGTGGAAACCCTGAGCCTTCTGCAAGGCGTCAGTCACAACCGCTTGGTAAAGGACTGAGACAGTCTCTGGCTCCATCTGAGTACACGTTCACCTCGTGACCTGGCGGGCCTCTTTTTATGGCTTACTCCCTGCATAAACGCGGCGGGGGTGGGGGGGAGGTGCTTGTGCATACACGTATGCACACACACACAGGGTAGGATATATTCAGAGACCATACGCTGTGTGCAAGGTCCACTTGAAGGCACAAATGCCAGCACAGAATGTACCTAGCAGCTGGCCAAGGGCTCTCTAACCAGAGCAGACTTATCGGAGAATCTGAACAGAATTGGAAGCTCTTCCTCCCTGGTTTGTATTCGTTTTTCCTCTGATACTCCCTTTTCTGGACTCAAGATGGCTCTAAACCCAGCAGATCTCTCCGCTTCTCTCTGGGGTAGACAACAGGCTCGAAACTTGGCTAGAGGAGAAAGCCCGAAGTTTGCTGCTGGTTTTTTGTTTGCCTTATTTTGTTTGGGGGCCTTACCTGGTGATGCGCAGGGTAACTCATGCTCTGCACTCAGGAGTCGCTCCTGGTGGTACTTGGGGGACTATTTGGGATGCTGGGAATTGAACCTGGGTCACTTGGGTGCAAGGCAAACGCCCTACCTGCTCTGCTGCACTAACTAGCTCTCCAGCCTCTGCTGCTCTGTTTTGCCCAGTGCCCTAGTCCCGGGTGCAGTAACCGTGGCTTGTGGGGCCCTTTCGGGAGCCTGGTGCTGAACTAGGGGAACCTTTGCCTCTGGCGAGAGGTTGAAGCCCCAGAGGGTGGGGGGAATTTGCTCATTTGCGCTCTCTCTCTCTCTCTCTCTCTCTCTCTCTCTCTCTCTCACACACACACACACACTCACACACACACACACACACACCCATTCCTCCTCCTCCTCCTCCTCCCCCTTCCGCCGCCCTCCCCCTCCCCCTCCCCTTCCCCCCTTCTGCCCCTTGGCTCCTGATTTGGGTACAGTGCAGGAAGTGCCTGTCAGCGTGCGTAACTAAATCCCCAGTTTTGTGGTCAGAGGATGGAGGAGGGAAAGCCCAAGAAACAAACAGGGAGCCCCTCAGGGAAGGTCCTGCATACCACTGTTGGTGGGCACCTGTACCTCCCGGCATTCCTGCCGACCCTCTGTAGATGCACATTGCTGATAGCTCAGACCGGACACTGGGTGGCGCACACAGGGGCGACACGTGACAGTAGCCTTTGAAAACTCAGGTACAGAAACCAGAGCCCACAGGACCTGTCCCAGCTTGTCTCCTTCACCCAACCTGGTTGACAGTCTGGTAGATCAGAAATACCAACATTCTCCACTGGATTTAAATAAAACCATAATGTAATCTGTGGGGGAGGGGAGCTGAGCCACCCCTGCAGTGCTCAGGGCTTATTCCTGATTCTCTGTTCAGGTTTCACTCCTGGCAAGACCTCGAGACCATTTGTGGTGCTGGAGATCAGACCACATCAGCTGCAGGCAAAGCATGCAAGCGCCTCTCCTCTGTACTGTATTTCTGGTCCCATGTGCAATCTTAAAAATATTCAAGATACAATTCAGTATGGGCTGGAGCGATAGCACAGTGGGTAGGGCATTTTCCTTGCACGTGGCCGACCCGGGTTCGATTCGTCCGTCCCTCTCGGAGAGCCCGGCAAGCTACCGAGAGTATCCCGCCCGCACGGCAGAGCCTGGCCAGCTCCCCGTGGCGTATTCGATATGCCAAACACAGTAGCAACAATTTTCACAATGGAGATGTTACTGGTGCCCACTCGAGCAAATCGCTGATCAACGGGAAGGCAGTGCTACAGTGCTGCAATTCAATATTAATCATCATAAAAATAAGCAAGAACTTTGTACATAGAAACCATAAACATTAGCCCTATTGTAGCCATGGTATCTCAATTACAGTAGATATAAATTAAGAAAGAAGTGAAATGGGTTGTTATAAAAAGATTAGCACTGAAGGTCTCTCCATGTAGGCATTGGCAGTAGCATGCGGCGACCTGGGTTTTGGACACCAAGTCCATAGGAATGAGAGTGCAGCATGGTTTTCTGCAGTGTTTAACCTGTTCCATCCACCCACCCCAGGGAAAGAAGAACCAGGAAAATCTTTTTTTATAACAGATAAAAATAATATTTATTCAGTATATTAATTGTCTAATATAGGATTATTTCAAACTTTCTTATATATTTCAAATTTTTGTTTCTTCCATCCCATTCTTCGTCCCTCGATTCCATCCTTTCTCGTTCTTTGCCCTTGTCCTAATCTTTGTCCTTGTCTTTCTCTTTCTCTTTTTCTCTCCTTTTCCTTCTCATTCTCTTCCTCCTCCTTCTTTCTTTCTCTTCCTCTCTCTCTTTATTGTATCTATCTTTCTCTTTATCTCTCTTTGTCTTCCCTTTTCTCTGTTTGTCTCTCCTTTTCCTTCTCCTCTACCACTCCACCTCCTGCCTATCCCTTTCTTTTTTTAAAAAAATTAATTTATTTATTGAATCGCTGTGGGAAAAGTTACAAAGCTTTCAGGTTTAAGTCTCGGTCATGCAATCATCAAACACATTTCCCTTCACCAGTACTCATTTTCCACCACCAAGAACCCAAATATACCCCCCATCCCAACCCTCCCAATGCCTGTGAGGCAGATGAATTCTAGTTAAAACTCAATCTACTTTGATTATATTCACTGTTCAACAAAAGATACACCATTATTATTTAGAGTTTATACCCCAAAATCAGACCTGCTGAAAAGGCATTGTGAAATAATTTGTTTTCTACAACTGGTTATAAGAACCAAATGTTGTTATGCGTCCGCAATAGCGGCCATGCGATTTTGGATTTCTGATATTTTACTTATTAAGCCTGGAAGTATTTCTGCCGAGAGTCAGATAATTATAAGATTGGTTTCTGTGACTCTAGAGCCATGGCTGTGCCAGAGAGCCGCTCATGGGGGGCAACTCGTGACCTTGGTAAGGGTGTGAAGGACGAGCTGGGAACGACCCCCTTCCCATGAGGTTTCAGTCGCCCCGTCATGACCTGTTCATACGTGTCCCTCCAAAAAGCTCCAAGGCTGCCGCTTTCTTGCTGTCCAGAAGGAAAAAGGAAGAAGGGAGCAACACCCTTTCCCCTCCGGGCAGGCATGGTGGCGTGGATTAACGCATAGTCCATTCACTTTTCTGCCACAAGCTGCCGGGCTCTGCATTAAGTTCTTGTGCTTCTGGAGCCATGGCCGTGCCGGAGAGCCGCTCGTGGGGGGCAACTTGTGACCTTGGTAGGGTGCAGAACCAGGAAAATCTTAACCTGCATGGCAAAGTCACTCATTATATATCAGTGCTGAGAGATGCTAGATACAGATACAGATAACAGAACCATCTAATCAAGGCTTTAAAGCTTCTGTTATAAAAATACTCCCCAGGGACCACAGAGACTCGACTTACACATGGCTGACCCGGGTTCGATTCCCAGCATCCCATATGGTCCCCTGAGCCCCACCAAGGCTAATTCCTGGGTCCAGAGCCAGGAGTAACCCCTGAGCATTGCCGGGTGTGGTCCTCCAAAATAGTACTCCCCAAGTAAGAGCAAATGCGATGGAAATGAAAGCTGGAGAAATCTCAAGGCACATGTCTTGCATGTGGCCAGACGCCCTGCCATTCACCAGGACCCCCTGAAAAGGTGGAAATGAACTAGAGAGATAGTATGGGGCTCTGGTGCTTGTCTCATATCCTGTCGGCACAGGTTCCCTCCCAAGCACCCCCGGGAGAGATCCTGGAGCACAGGCAGGTGTTCTGGTATGGCCCCCAAACCAAAAAAGATAGAAGAAACTAACAGAAAGACAGTGCTGACCCCTTCTTCAAAAAAGGAGAAGGAAGAAAATGAAGATAGAAAAAATAAATCATGATCACTATCATCCTGTTGTTCTTCGATTGCCTCGAGGAGGCCCCAGTAACGTTTCCTTCGTCCTAGCCCTGAGATTTTTTTTTAAAAGTGCCATATTCAAGGCTCTTTCAGGGTTAGGAGAATGAGACCCATCATTGTTATTGATGTTTGGCATATTGGGGAGTTTGCCAGACTCTGCCATGTGGGCAGGTTACATTCGGTAGCCTGCCAGGTTGTCCAAAGTAAGAATGTGAGGAATGTCCTAAAAAGTTAAGCAGCCTGGATACCGAGGGTCAGAAATACCTGGGTTAGAATTCTTTGATTTTCTATGATGAGGTGTAAGTGAGTATTCACTCTGCAGCCGCTGGAGTTGCAATTGAAAAAATAAATAAATAAATAAATAAATAACAAGGTAAGGAGCCATCAAAAGA